AGAAGATACATAAACGCTTTTTATTGTTATATAATTGTATAGACACTGCATTCATGGCATAGCCAGGCAAGTTTTGATATGGACTAAGACATTATTTTGTACTGAAATTTATCCAATTGCAAGAGTTACAATAAAACGCTTGTATGTGCACTAGGGCGGCTTGGTACAGTGTACATTTGGACTAACCAGTGGATACAATAATGCAGTTGGCCAATAGGCAGTTATTTTATGGCTGAAATCTCTACATGACTGTCACCTGTGATGATTTGGCTTTCCTCCGAATTGACTGTGCTCACATACAAAGGGCGCATACTGTTGAATATAATTCTAATACATAAAAAGGAATGATCACATGGGCACAACTGTCTGAATGACTGCCATTGCTCCTGCATGTATCAAGTATAGGAATATGTAGAATAAGTTTTTATTTCAGTGTCAGTTGCGGTTTTTTATTTCAACATTAAAATTTTACAAAAATGTTATTCCGCACTCCTCCCGGTAGAGACTATAAAATAGTGTTATCTGCCGAGTCCGTTCTTTGGTTGGACTCGTTTCTTAGAATCGAAGATCGCATACTTCTTAAACTGGAGGAGCGACGCTGTAGTCGCCTGTACGTAAACAATGCTCTAAGTTCTTTTCTGAAGCATGCCCCGGAGATGCTGTACAGGAAAAAATTGACACAGTAGTTGAAAAAGTAGATTGTCCGAGTGACGTGTAGAGCGCCCCGCGAGTACCGGAAGTCAACGTCGGTCTCGCGGCTGGGGAAGGTTCTGTACATGTGCAGACACCAGGTGACGAAATACGGCATGTTTAACATGACGAAACAGGTGGAGAGACCGAGAAGAATGATGGTCATTTCCATCCTGATTTTATTCTCTTGGACCTGCACCATGCCGAATACTCCGCGCCTGCGGTTCCGGCTGCGCGCGACCAACTTCCGGACCATTAGAACGTTCAACACGCTAATTATTACGAACGGCACGAGGGTGATGCTCATTCCGAAAATCATGTCTATGACGTAGGAGAGGGTCTTGAATTCACTGTTGTGGGTGCAGACTTTCTCTTTCGTTATCTTGTTAACTTCGTACACTCCGCTCAAGACAGGCTTGTACAGAGACAGGATGAACGCAGCGATGACGTATATCGTGATGGTCTTTCGGGCGTAGCTGCGCGTGCACATGCGTAACCTAAGCAGCGGCCTGCACACGCCTATGTAACGCTCAATTGTGAACGCTACGATCAGCCATACTGACATGAACCGCATGACGTAACTGAAGTAAAGAAACATGTGGCACACGCCATTTCGGGACAGGATGTGACCGGCTGCGTAACTTCCGGTGAGAAATGCCAGTCCACGGGTCAGCCAATCAAGAAGCACGTAGATGAGAAGTACCAGGATGTCCGAGAGAGAGAGGGCAGCAAGGTAGCAGCTAGCTGAGAGACTCCGCATGCTCTTGCTGACAAAGACATTGAAAGAGAGAATATTTCCGCACAATCCTATGCCTATGATGATAGGAGTGACGACAGCATAGAACTTCTGGCCCACTGTGAGTATAAGGGGGTCTGAGGTCCCCGGGGGAAATAAAATGATACTTTCATTTCCCTTCAGTGTCTGGTTGATGCCAGTAAAGTTTCCCAGAGATGTGTTGGACAAAGGATGGAATTCTTCTTTCCCGAGGCTCTCGAAAAACTGGTCGATGCTCCCCATTCGGGTTGTGTAATGCGTGAGTGAGATAAGATGTTAAAGTACGGTGCGCATCACTTCCTTAGCCACGGCGTCCCTTTGTGACCAAATCCTAGAAATAAAAAAGTGAAAATTAAGCTTAAAGAAATTCTGTCCTTGTAGCATAGTGTTACAGAATAAATTTATTTTCAATTCGTGACACAATCACACCAATGATATGCATGTCTGTACAGTTAGGGGACCATTCACAGTGAACCATTCTCACTGAATGCAATCAGATGAACGGACATAGACCCCATTGCCACACACACCATCGGTCTACGTAACTCTGCGGGGACTCTCGCTGTGTGCAATCAGCGTCACTGAATGACACGCCTCCTCTTGTTTCTACTTAACCATCAGTAAGTAGGAATTGTACTTAACGCCAGGAGGCGTGTTAATCTTATTGCATTCAGCGATAGTCCCCGTGAAGTAAGTGTGCAATGGCTATGGCGACCTCGCACATTCGAAATCGGTATCAGATAACATTGGCCGCTTTCTTACTCCCTCTAAAACGAATGTCTGCCTAAATCCCTACCTCTTTCGAAAAAAAATTTCTGCATCATTTACCCAATTGCGTTAATGAATAACTAACGCTGTAGTCTATTTCAATGCACTGGACAGTTCGTTTAGGTTATTAACAGAATAATATGTGTGTGTGTGTGTGTGTGTGTGTGTGTGTGCACCTGTGTGTGCACGTGTGTGTATGTGTGCACGTGTATGTGTGCGCGTGTGTGTGTGTTATCTACCGCCGTAAGTTGATTTTCGCCAGCGGAATCAGGTGCATCGGACTGCATAACGTATAATAATACCCGTTCTCCACACTCCAAGGAAGATCATATAGCAGTTCATGTTGAACCGAGTAAAAGGTTAATATCTACTTAATGGATCTCACATATCAATTTTCATCAAATTATCTTTATGTGCCTGAAAGAACGACAAAGAAACCTGACCGGGATCAGTGCAAGACATCGGTTATGCGGTAATGTCAAATGTCATTACACCACAGATAAGACGATGACATATATACAGACGGTGAATATAGCGAAGAAGAAAGCCACCAGTTTATTTTGGACGGTTTGGGTCACACTGTTGCCCAGCAACCAGACACCTTTGCCAAGCAAGCAGACCTGTCCTTGACGTATGTTTCGAAAAAATCCAAGTGATAATAAAGATTTACAGATGCATTTGAAGACAAGTTTTTCCCACAAAAGACAACCAAATGCCACCATATACTGCAGGTTCTAATGGTACGATACAGATAAATACTAAAGGACATCGTTTCGCTTTATAGGCAAAGTGGTATTTGAACGGATATTTTCTGCTTACTTTCTGTGCTATACTGTACAGAACCTTAGTTGTTTTTGGCAACTCATTGAATAAGTATGGATTTTGCGCGCATGCGCAGCCACGCCTAGATACCGGAGTGATGATTATGCGATGCGCACGCAGTACTGGTCGTTTAACTGACCTTTACGAACTAGAGGGGCAGATAAGTGTGTAAATTAACGACCAGAAATTTGAAGAAGGTGTAGTTTTAAAGCTCTTTTATGGCTGATTCAGTGATCCATTCGGTTTATCCTTTGACGTGTCGACTTTATTTAAGTCTAGTAGAAGTGGTTTATGCGCGTTACTAGGAAGCCACGCTTGCGTTATGTGTACACTGCAGGTGATGACGGCGCCCCCTGTGCAACGCTACATTTCTGATTAGATAAATACTTTTCTTTAAGGACAGCACTATCAAAATAGTGCCCAGATTTCAGTTCATTCCAATTGACATATGTCTCCTACCTCCTGTAAATATGTTTTGGCTTTAGCCAGGTGTTATACGGTTTTAAAATTAACATGTATGTAATGGAAAGCTTCAATGGCTGTACACACTCAAGTTGCTGGTACAGCTATAATAGAAATCTTAAGTGAGGCAATTAAGAAGGGGCAGACCGTGTTCGTTGAACCGACTAATTTGAGTGTCCGATAAGGATTGCTTGGGGATTCCCCTACCCTGTAATTATCATACGGCCTCTATTGTTCGACCATATGGGGCAGGGTTGGGAAACCATACGGCCATTTGGTAAGGGGACATTCCGGCGACACTGTAGATATTAATTATATGTACTTATACTACGACAAATTACCATCTAAATTTAAAAGTTATTTTTGTTTTCAAAAAAAGTCGCCAAATTTATTTAGGTTTTAATTATAGTTGAACTCGGACCTGGGATTCTGTTCCAAGTACCCGAGGCGATAACGCGATCCGACGGTTCCAGGATTCGAATTCTTAATCTTTACTTAAAGGTGGCGAAAAAAGCTCCAAAATCAAATCAAAGGAATAGCCAGTTCCACAGTTACTGATATATTCTTTTTTTTTTGAAATGTGAAACAAAACTCTCCTGTCTGTCGTAAATTAAAATCATGTGTATTGTTACATGTACCAGATATTTTATATCACATACCTAATGGACCGACCCCTGTCTTATCAAATCAATTGACGTGGCTGCCAGAGCCATTGGAGTCAATAAATGAAATCAAACTTATGTAACTTTAAATCTAAATCACAAAGAGTCTTCAGACATGCTGAAACTGTCGGTCCTATCGGTCATGACCGCGAAAATTTGTTTGGACCAGTACAAAATTGGACTTGGTCGGTCCAAAGAACCGACAAGAGTTTTATGAACCTCAATTTTGAATCTACAGTCAACATTCGACATACTTCACTAATAAAAATATATAAAACCCAAAGCGTTTTCCCTTCCATTTCAAACCTATCACATTCACAAACAAAGTAAGCTACCTAATCATACTGGTAGTATCTGTCTCAAACGAATAGAGTGATTTTCGGTCCGACAAAAATCCATTCGGTCCGTCAAAATTTTCATTACTGCCTGTCCAAATGTCCGGCCATTCTGAAAAGTTTTCAGCATTTCGTTTAAAGAGCATTATAAACGTCAACGAAAACAGCAAATAAAGCAAAGCTTACCGTCGTGAGTCAATACATCGAAATGTGACACTCTTTCCATCACATTGTTTGACATTTGCTTTATAATAAAGCATTAACCTCCCCAAACCAGTGCCATGAAACATGAAAGGTAATAAACGACGTCCTCAATTTTGATAGTTACCATAGGGACAGAAATGTTCATCAGTTTAAAAAAAAAAAAACGAGTATGAAATCGCCATTCAACCTGAGACAACAGAAATGGAGCACCTATGCGCACCTACCTTGTTCTATGTGACTCAAACCATGGAACAAGTGCCCTTTCAACAACAAGATTTCCTCGACTGTCAGAGCATCCCTGCAGTCTTTTCTGCGCATTGGTTTGATTTCATTAGTGAACGTAGAAACAAACCAAAGAACTCTTCGTTTATGGCGGCAACAAATGGCCCGAGGACCGTTTTATTTGTTTGTGTGAGCCAATGATATCGGGCTAACCGGTTCATCTGCATGAGATGAAGTTTGAAATCTCGCGAGATTATAGCGTGAGCGTCATTGATGAACTTTCTCCGGTCATTGCCCCCATGCCTCATGATCTGTTCCCTTCTGATTGTTTTTTTTTTTCTTTTTCTTTTCCTGTTAGAACTACGCGACTTTGATTGATCGTCTGCTGCTGCTTTCAAGCTGTCCAGCACTATGCCACTAGCGTTATTGTCTAGTCTTCAAGTGTTTGTGAAGCGTTCACCCTATGTCGTGAAGCATTAGACGCAGTTGATATACCGTAAGAAAGATGAACACAGTGTATCTTGTAAATTAACTTAACACCGAGAATGTAGTTGTTTTAGAGACTGGGGTTGATGTTAATCGCTTGTGTTTGTAAAGGTCAGATCTGCTGGCCTCTGAAGACGACAGTATCTATAAACTAGCCCTGGAGTGCTTTACCTATATGCTGGCCTCTGAAAACGACAGTATCTATAAACTATCCTTGGGGCGCTAAATGCTGGCCTCTGAAAACGACAGTATCTATATATAAACTAGCCCTGGAGCGCTTTACCTATATGCTGGCCTCTGAAAACGACAGTATATATATATAAACTAGCCCTGGAGCGCTTTACCTATATGCTTGTCAATTTAAGTCCTCTGATTTGTGACCAGAAAGTGAATTCCATGGGTAGATTCATTGCGTAGATTCATTGCGCTGATAAAACATCAGAATTTGAATGCAATATCAACATGAACGGCAAACTGCAGTGTGGTATTGGTCACCAGGTGTGTGTTGAAGACCTCTCTTTAACAAGGTCGATGAAAAGTAAAAATAAAAAATAAAAAAAAAACGCTGGTTGACAAGTCATTGATTTTTGTTATCAAATGTTCTTTGCCAGCAGAATTCCTTCTGCGCAGTTAGTCCAACATTATACTGACACAATACAATATAAAAAACAATATATAGGTATTACCACTAAAAATTAACAAAGATCCACATGAAATGACATTTGTTATTAGCTCGCAAACAAACCCACACAACTGGGAACAAATGACAGCGGTTCACACGCGGTTTTCTACTTTCATCAGCTTCCAGAGCTTCATAAGATAAAAAAAACGCTCCAAGAAAGAGTATTCCCTGGCATAATCAGAGTATTTATGGAAACGCAAGAGAAGAAAAAAACAGGTGGTTGTCCCATGACTCTGTCACCACGCAACCGCCAAGGGGCCATTCAGAATAAAGGATCCTAGTATCAACTGATCCAAGTCTCAAATATGGCGGAGCCTACATGAAAGGAAGACCGTTGGGAAGCGTGTGAGAGGCGGATTAAGCGGTCTTCCTTTCATGTAGGGTCCGCCATATTTGAGACTTGGACCAGTTAGTCGTCGGATCTTTTATTCTGAATGGCCCCCAAGACATATAGGTACAGGCTGGGCCAGCTGGGTGTCACCTGTCTTCAAATAACTGTCGTGGTTGTGATAGGCGTACATGTGGTCAAGGGTTTCTTCATACGCAAATAAGCGGCGTGGTGCGGCCGTAAAATGCGTTTAAATTTAGTTGTGCAATGCAGCTCTTCTTATATATTTTTCTTACCGAACACAATTCGATAGGCTACTACATTAGCTTACTCAGTCCATGTTTCAATTAATGTATTTTA